AGGAAATGGGCTGTGGAAGGGCTGGCATATCTAACCCTTGATGCAGATGTGAAAGATGACTTTGTTGAAGATGAGCTAGCCCTGCAAGCTATGTTTCAATTAGCCAAGGTCTATCACCTTACCTGTTCCCTCATTCCTCTGGTAGCATCAGGTTCTCCCTGCCCAACATTGTCTCCAGCCCAACATTATCTCACCAGGCAGGAGAAGCTGTGACCCAACCCCCCACCTCTAGTGCAGAAAAACTTAAGTTTTGCCTGTGCCACGGAGACACCTGAAGGTTGTTATCATCCTGCTCTTCTCCCAAGGCTCAGGCAGGTTGCTCTTAACTTTACTGTCAGCAACTGCACGAAAACCAAAGGCATCAAGTTGTTGACAGCAGCTGATGATGTCAAACAGCCTGTTTAATCATAAAAACTTTTTTTTCCCTGCCCTGGGCTATCAAGCTGGGGATAAGCCTCAGAACATTTCAGCTAGTGCAAACCACCACAATGGCAGTCCTAAGGGACCTGTTTCCCTGCTGGGTCTTCCTCACCCTAACATAAGCTTTTATTTTTCTGTGCAGACAAGCGACAAGACTATCTTGTATTCTGTGGCTTCTGCACTGGTGAACTGCACTAACAGCTATGATACCAAGGAGCTGGTCCCAGAGCTGGTGCAACTGGCAAAATTCTCCAAGCAGCACGTGCCTGAGGAGCATCCGAAGGTAGGTTGTCTGTATCTGGGGAGCTGGGAGGAGGTGCTCGGATCTGAAGACTTTCTTTGGTGTATCCGTTGTCACAGACCTCAGGTTTCCTGTCTCCGAGGCTGAAATTGGCTGTAGTCAGCAGGACGACACCTGCTGAGGGGCCAATCCCTTTCCAATGTCTCCCCTCAGGACAAGAAGGATTTTGTGGTGAAGCGAGTGAAACGGTTGCTGAAAGCCGGCATCGTCTCTGCCTTGGCCTGCATGGTGAAGGCTGACAGTGCCATACTGACGGACCAGAGCAAGGAGCTCATCGCCAGGTGCCTTCATTGCTCCTGTGGGAGCCAGGAGTGCTGCCCAGCCCACGTGCCACCGAGATGGGCGCCTGGGCTGGCTCCTTGCTTAGTGGAGTGGTGCGTTCTGCCTATGGGGGAGGGATGAAAGAGAGGTGGAGAAAAGATTGAAACCCAAAGTTTTTCTTAAGAAGTGTGATAGAAATCCATGTTATGACCCTGAAGCTGGCTTACAGGGCTACCTTGCTAGGCTGCATTTTGAATTTCTAGTCCTCTGTACTGGTTTTGGCTGGAATAAAGTTAATCTTGTAGGCCTAGAAACTTCCTACTGTGCCATTTGTTGCTTTCTCCTAGAGTGCTGTGGGCACTGGGTTAAACATCTGGAATTTTCCTGGTGGATCTGCCACCCCTGCAAAACCTTAGCTCCCTTCCATGAGGACGTGGGTTATTGCCTTCCTGAGTGGCTGTTTCTCTAAGTGATGCTGTGCTTTTGCAGGGTGTTTCTTGCCTTGTGTGAAGACCCCAAGGACCGTGGGACCATTGTCGCACAAGGTGGTGGAAAGGTGATTACTTTTATGTTTGCAGCCCAACCTGATGTGCGGTTAATGTCCTGCAATGTGTCTACAGCGAGGGATGGTGACAGAAAAGCACGAGCTGTCTTGGTAGCCCCCGGGGCCCAGACTGACACTCCAGTCCTGTCTCTGCAAGCCTCCAAAGAAGCAACCTCCTTGAAACAACTGTGTGAGAGCTACAAGCTCTGGTGTGGTGCCTATTTGAGAACAAAAACAAGGCATCACTGTGGGCTACACTCCAGACCCATTTCTTCAACATATACAACTTTAGGATATTTTTTAACTTATTTTAGTATATTAAGGAAATCCTGTAAACCTTGTCAGAGGCATTGAATGCTTTCCTGTGTGTCACTAGGCCCTGATACCTCTGGCTGTGGAAGGCACAGAAGTTGGCAAGATAAAGGCTTCTCATGCTCTGGCAAAAATTGCTGCTATCTCCAATCCAGACATGGCATTCCCAGGGGAGAGGGTAAGCTTAAAAAAAAAAAAAACAAAACAAAACAAAAAAAAAATCTTTATAATTCATTTAGCAAAGGAAAACTGCCAAGATCTAAGAGCTGGAAAAGCTGTGATATGCCTTCTCTTCTTAGGTATATGAGGTGGTGAGACCTCTTGTCAGCCTGCTGAACACAGAGAGAGATGGCCTCCAGAATTACGAGGCTCTGTTAGGTCTCACTAACTTTTCAGGAAGAAGTGATAAACTGAGGTGAGTTTAACTGCTTTTTGACCTTTCTTCCCCAGGAGTGAATGTGAATTTCTGTTTGATGCTTTTCTTGTAGGGCTGTGAAGACTGGTCAGTTTGAGCTACCTTTGGCAGACTACAAAGGTCTCAGAAATAAAGATTAATAAAATAAGCAGGAAGAGGAGAATGGCACATTTTCCTCTAGAAAGAGGAAAGATCTGAACCTAACCTTCATTAGATAGGGAATGAACCACATGTCATGAGCACCAGTGCTGTGGACACTGATTTGTTTCAAGGCCTTCCCTGTCTGGCAGTTAATATTTTATAAGTTTGTTATTGCCTGGCCCATGATGTGTTTTATTTGACTGCCCTTCAACACAGGATGAAGATAGTCAAAGAGAGGGCCCTGCCAGATATTGAAAACTATATGTTTGAGAATCACGATCAACTTCGACAGGCAGCCACAGAGTGCATGTGCAACCTGGTGGTCAACAAGGAGGTAACTCACTGGGCATCTCAAACTTGACCATCTGCACCAGTTCGAGAGACCCTGTGATGAGGTATTGCTAAATGTGCTATCTCTGGATATCATGTGGTGGGTTTTTTTCAGGTTCAAGAGCGGTTTGTGGCTGATGGAAATGACCGGCTGAAGTTGGTGGTGTTACTGTGTGGTGAGGATGATGAGAAGGTGCAGATTGCAGCAGCTGGAGCCCTGGCCATGCTTACAGCAGCACAAAAGAAACTCTGCTCTAAGATGACTGAAGTGGTAAGACCATAAATCCACTTACTGGCAGTGTAGACATACTCTTGAAGTGGATTTTCAGTGATGAAAATGTCTCTCAAAGGGGAGATGTAGTCTACCAGTTTGATAGCGAGGAACTTGGTGAAGTTGAGACCTGGGTGTCCATGTTGCTAGTCCATCACTGCACAAAGTAAACCAGCCTGTCTTATATTAGACTTCGTCTCAGAGCTGAAATATTTCTATATAGCCATTCCTCAACTTAAGTCCAGGGTGCTAATTGTTAAGGAAGGTTAGGAATACAAAATATTATTCTGTAGGCCCTTAAAGTTTTTGAGCAATAACCTGAAATCCAAACCTTGCTTCAGTCAGAAATGAGAAGAGCTTGACAGGTGATCTAATGAGCTTTACAGATCCCCAAACATCTCTATTTCCTGCACAGATCTGTAGGTCCTGAGAACTCAGGCCCTGCATAGCTGGGTATCTGTGAAGAGCTGTGGTTGGGAACTCATGAACCCTGTTGTGTTGCACACATACTGATGTTAGACACTGGGGCCTGTTGGAATAAAAATTATTAATCAGCAGAAGAAAGGGCTCAGGAAAATCAGTGCAAGGAGTGGGTGGTCTGCTTCTGGTAGTCTCAGCTGCGTCAACATTCTGATCAGATTCTGTGCACAGAGATTATGCAGCAGCCTAAACATGAAACACGTTTCACGTGGTGCTAGTGCTGTGAAAAATTCTGACTTTAGCATAACAAAAATAGGGTTCAAAAGTCAGGTTTCCTTAGTTAAAGAATCAAATAACTGTATCCTGAGTATTGAAGAGGTGAGTCCCTGCACTTCCTTCTGCTGAGAAATGCCTTGCCAAACCGGCATTCTTGGTTGAGATATTCTTCAGATCAATACTAATGATGTCTCTCTCCCCTGAAGACCACCCAATGGCTTGAAATCCTGCAGAGGCTCTGCTTGCATGATAACATGGAAGTACAGCACCGAGGACTGGTCATCGCTTTCAACTTAATCAGTGCTGACAAAGAGCTAGCAAAGAAGCTGGTGGAGACAGAGCTCCTAGAGATTCTGACATACCTTGGCAAGCAAGAAGATCAGCCCAAGAAGCAGCACATCATTAATGTAGCACGTGATTGCCTCACCAGGTGCATGGATTATGGGCTGATCAAACCTCTCTCTCAGGCATGAGGAAATGAAAAGCATCAAAAAAGGCTGAATGTGGGGAAGAAAAAGCTACTGAAAAATGTGGAAAAGTGAGAGCCATGAGGAAAATCTAGTGTCATTGTCAAGGCACAGAATAGTTTGGGGAGAACTTTGGAGAACCAGAAACTGTATGAGGAAAAGGGGGGCATTTGCCTGGGAAATTTGGAAAGTGTCCATCTGAGTAATTCCCAGATGATGTAAATCCTTTCTTTGCCCCCATTCAGCTGATAATGATAAAAGCTTCAAGGCACAGCTGTTGGAAATGTGCCAGGGGCTGTTGGAAAGAAACTCAGCTGAGCTGAAATCTGTCCTGCAACCACCTACAGCTCCTAGTACTTCTGGAATTCCTAGCCGTGGTGGAACAGGGAGGGTTAAATGCCTTCTATCCTGTAGTCAGAAGATAGGTTGGGTTTTAGCTGTGTGCTTTTTCGGTTAATTTGTGGTATTTTTAAACAGCGTCAAGTGGTGTGCCAAAGTGTGCGGATGGTGGATGAACTCTTAATAAATGCACTACTTTCTGCCATGTGCAATGCCTGTTCTGCTTTTATTAAGCAAATGGAGAATCTAAGGCAACTCCCACTTGCAGCCTTGCATCATACCCAGGAATCTGGAGTAATCATGTCACAGGCTGAATTTTCACCACTTGGAATATATCCAGCCCTGTGCCAATGAACGTGCAAAGTCACCATGAAAGGCTGTATGAGGAGGTGGTGCTGATGGGTTAAGGTGAGGTTCACACCATGGCACAGTGTTTGGCTCAACAGGGAACGTTGAAAATACCTCATTTATGGAAGAAGCCAAATGAGAAACAAAGACACCAGTTGGTCATCACATTAACCTTTATTATATAAATGTTTACACTAATAGGATAGGCATGGCATGATTAACTGCTGAGGTTTGGAGGTTATGAAAGGAAGCAGGGGGATAGTCTTTCTTTGTATGTTGATTAAGGAAAAAAAAAAAAAGGGAAGTGCCTCTAACTTCCTGAAGCTAGAAAAGCAAGAATTTTTAAGCTAGTAAGTTTGACAACCTAAAGGCAAATTTATTTGGAGGGTGATTCCAGCTGTGTACACTATATTCTCCTTATTGTACCCACATTCAATTAAATCACTGGTGCTTTATAATGACATTAGGAGGATATCAGACTGTTCTTCTAAACCAAATGAGCCACAGGTTGTTCTGTGATGGAAAACACTATGGTTTGTTTCCAACTAGCCTTCAACTTTGGATACCCAGTTTCGGGAATTTTGGATCTGTTTTTCAAAAGTGTTTTGCATCTAACTCTCTGTATAGAGTTTTATCTAACCAGCATGTCTGAAACAAAGACAAAAAAATGACATTAGTATCTAAGGGTTGTAATGCAGAGTTTTCCTTCTTGCCCTAAAACTGCTCTTCGGAGCAACTGAGTTTTTCTAACCCATACTGACTGTTGCTGAAATTCAGTGGGGAAACTACTGGAAAAATCCTTTATTTGTATTTCCTAGCTAAAGCATGGACAGAAGCGCTCATTTTTACTTTCCTAGATATCTGAATAGAGGCTGTCTCTTAGAAGACTTTTTTTAACACTGGGTGCCTCTGCTGTTTGGTAACTCTTCTGAGCAGTACTATGAGTACGGGAGTGAGCTGGTGAAAGCCAGGAAGTCTTCCAGTTTCCTGTCTTGGCATAGTGACTTTCACTTGGCAATGCACCTGCATGCAGTCAAAGGCTGAGTGTCAGGTTTTGCAAGTCCTTGAAAGGAGCCTTCAGGGAATGATGTAATTCTGACATTCAAAACATCTCTTTCTCTGCATTATTGAAACCTTACATTTGATTTAAAACAGACATTCCCAAGAATAGCTGGGCTTTTAGAGATGACCAGCCATTACAAGGGAAATCCTTCTACTTAGATATGGAGTGAGAAATTTCAAACGTACATAACCAGAACTAGTAGAGTCTTGTTGGGATCCTGTGTGGTTAGCTGTTTTCAGTTCTCAAATAACAAGTGTAGATTTAAATTAGCTCTGGATGCCACACAGACCAATATATTTCTTAAAATTTCCCTCTGAAACGGAAAGTATTGAGGAATAATACCAAAGACAATGCTTCTTTCTAAGCCAGAGAAACGACGGACACTGTCAAGAATAGCATGCTCCTCTAGCCCTCCCTCCATTTTTCTTAACGATATATTTGACTTTGACTTCTCAATTTCTGACGCTAGTATTTCACAGTATGTTCTTACTTCTTCATCTCTGTAGCACAGAATAGCAATATCTTTCTCAGAGTAACCCTTTTCAAGATATGCACGACAACGTGTTACCACATACTTTGCTATTCCGTTTCTGCCTAGTTTGCTTACTCTTTCAATACAGCCTTGTACAGCATGAGCACACGTGGGTCTGCTTAATAAGCTTTTCAAACGTTGGTTAGGAATATCTAGGGTAGAGTAATTTACAATCATTTCCATATTTTCTTTTAGATAGCTATAGATACTGTTAGCATTACGAACCACTTTGGTTAGTGACTCGACAGGATCATGCCACGTTGCTTCTGGAAGACCAGTTGGGAAGGTGTGACTTTTCTGTAAGTAGTCCAAGAAAATCCAGAAAAAGCCGGGCTCAGGGAGGTGTTCTAATGAAGTGAGAGTTAAGGCTTTCTTATACCAATCACCTTCCTCATCTCGGAAATTCTGTGCTTCATCAATTATGATGTGTTTCACACCATTAAAACTTGACTTCAAAAAGGCTACTCTTGTCACAGCTTGGCAAATGTTTTTCTGCCTATAGAAGACATACAAGTAGATTAATAACAATCTCTGCATTGCAAACTACTGGTTATACTTGATCAGAACAAAGTAAATGCCCGTGCTATTGGAGTCATATTTATTAGTAGATGCTCAGGATGTCAAGAAAAAAATTTGAACCTTACTAAAAATACATCCCAACTATATACTTCAAACACCGCAATCATGGTGGACCAAATAGCATACCAAATATACTAATCAGTACTCAGCTATTTAAAAATGCTGGTGAAATAAGAGAATTGAAAGAAACACTTACCGCACAAAATCTCTCAGAGGCTGGTTCTCACATACATAAAGAACTTCTTCTTGTGCACACTTCAGCATACTTTTTATTTTCTCTATGATCTTCAGGGCCACTATAGTTTTTCCTGTTCCTGGTAGACCGTAAACATACAGCCTCTTAGTTTTGTGAAGATTTTCTGACAGCAGCTGGTATTGTTTGATGGTCAAGAGGTTCAAAAACTCAAAACCAACATGGTCACTTAAAAAGGACTTGAAAGTCAGCAGAGCTACTGTGAGAGCATGCAAGAGGGCCTTCAAGTTGACACTGTCTATTAGGCTGTAGTTTTGGGGATACATTTCTTGAATATTCAGATCCCATTCTTTTCCACAGTTAATTTTGGGAGCCAAAGTCAGTAGCTTTGGTATTACGCACAATTTGTGAATATAGCCCCCAGTGTTGACTAATTTCTCCTTCAGTTTCCAGGCTATGCATCTTGCATATTCAAACAAATCCTTTGAGATATGATGCTTACAGATTGTATAGAGTGTGGGTGGCCTATCCTTGGCTATTAGGAGAACATCACAAATTATGTCTCGGTTTTCTGGCAAGCCGACCTCAACAGCCCAGCTTCTGGAAAATATCAGAACTCCCTCAGAAAGCTGCTTCAATTGATCTTCCATTAAAATATCCAACCCTGGATGCTCTTGGAGGAGATCTTCACTGAGTTTTTCTGGAGTATATATTATGCTGTGGGATTTCACTAGCAAGGCAAAGCAGAAGAAAGAGTTAGTGTTAGTGTAAGATATGCAAAACCAGATCTCTGAAATGATTCTGTAGGAATTAGTATTGGTGAAAGGCTACAACTACAGGCCACAGCTATCTGAAATACCTTTTTGGTTTCTTCAAAATTTTCCTTAACCACTCTATATGTTTCCAGATTCTTTTGCAAAGACTACTTCCTCAGGGAACTCAATCCTACTCAGGTCTCGGTCCCTTTGCTAAAAATGCCAGCACAGGACCAGCTGTCCCAACCTTGTTTAGGAGACCTGGTCAGCAAACGAAGAAACAATAATGGTTCAACACAAAAGCCCCTGGACACCTGGCTGATCTTGCAATGCCACAGAAATGTTGGACTGTACCTGGCAGCAGACTCTCCACTCTGGTGCCAGGCCCAGTTACTTTATGTATTTACACCGGGCTGATTCCAAGTGACCTTTTTCAGTGGATTGCGAAAAGATGTTGGCATGGCTATGCTCGGTCCCCAGAGAAGTTCAGCTAGCTGAGCTCCATCATGTACACATGTCAATAGTTGGCACAAGATCAGTCCTTGGGCAAGGGGCTCATCAGGTATTTAAATGTAATGTTGCTGTCAGATCTGCAAATTATTTCCATTTCTTTCACCTGTTTAAAGAATGTCTTCAAACTCATCTTTGACCTTGACCATGTGCTTGAGATTCATGTTGTAAACCTATCAGACAGTGAAAGCAATGCGCAGACCTACCTGGAAACAGTTGCTTACAAAGATCATCAACACTGTCAAGGCCCTGGTGTGAATAAACTGGCTTGACAAGAGGTGACCCCTCTGCCAGACTCAGCTCTAGCCTGAAGGCCTCAGAAAACTTTGAAAGATCTGGAAAAAAATAAATAAAAACATGTGCTATGGCCTGAATATTTGCTGTCCCTCAGTGCAAGAGCCACAAGCTGTCCTCATGCTGGCTTTAAATCTTTTGCTTGTCTTTAAAATAATAAATGCAATGTATAGACAGAAACCTTGCAAACTCACATTGGACAGCAGCTGATTATCAACAGAACGGGCTCAGGTCATGGACCATGGAGCTGCTCTTGGTTTCCTTATCTCAGCTGCTGTTGTGACCTCTAACTCTATCAGTGATACTCCTTTCACTGCCCAAGAATTGCCCAACGAACAATTTATTTGTCTGTAGCTCTCAGCTTATTAGGCTGGCAGCAGCAGTGGAGAATGTCCCTGAAAGGCAGGAGGGAAAGTATTGATTAAACGTGAAAGCAAATGGCAATTTGCAAATGGCAATATTGTAAAAAACAATATTGGACTGTGGCAATAATGTAAAAAAACACGTGCACTGGTGTGTAACCTCAAAAGCAGTGTACTGGAGGCATGGAGAGCTCATGGTGCAAGAGCAGACACTAGTATTGGCATCAAAAATTCACCAGGATCCGCTGCAACCCGAAGCAAGCACTAAAGAATGGAAGCAGCAGAAAGACAGGTATTTAGCAAGTACTTGAAGCAGCCAAACTGATTGGTTTGGTCAGACCCCCAAAGAGCACTGAAAAGTAGGTAAGACTAAGGCAAACAACAGTGCCAGGCCAGAAGGAACTAAATAAAAGAAAGTATCAAAAATGGAAAGGGATTGTCCTGGCTGTTTTGGACCTGGATCAGCAGCAGTCATCCACACAGCCCACTTGTCTGCTCTCAGCCTCCTGATGGTGCTGCCTTCCACTAGCCAAGAGTCTGGGTCTTCGGAAAACACGACGCAAGTAAATGGCTGAATCTTCACAGCACAGACATAGCCACAGTGATCTCCAGTCTCGCGGTACACTTTGAAGATTTTGTGTTCATATCTTATCTTGTGTGAATTTCCACTCCGGCAGAAATGGAAGGGGGTTAATTTGTTTTGAATGGAATTGATTAGGAGATCTAATTTGTCAAGTTCCTTATCATTACTGCTGAATCCCTGCACTCTGCTGTCATCGTCCACACCAAGCCATAAATACCCACCACCTGTGTTTGCAAATCCAGCAATATATTGAGGTAACACCTCTCTGACACGAGTAAAAAAGTTTTCAGTTGAATAGTGCTTAAATTCCACATGTCCTGACTCTGTGAAAGCCAATGTCTCTCCATGTTGCAGTCGGTCCCTATTAAACAACTCAGCAACAGTGTTATTTACAATATCCATGCCTCTGTCACTAGCCCTCCTCTTTCTGCTTTTATCAGGTGGTCCTGGGCTAAGCTCTCTCCCGGCTTCATTTTGCTTTCCTTTAAGGAACAAAAAAGCTTCCATAGGGTTCATGTGGGAAAGAGAAGCACCACATTTTGCGTACAATCCAGTACTCAGGCTACAGATACGTGGCTTTGCACTTGCAGAGGTTAAGGATGTGTTTTCACTGCTCCAGGTTTTAATAAAAATCAAAAGGTAATTATCTCGCTGTTCGAAGTCCAGGTATTTTCTCCAGTCTGGAAACAAAACAAGAGACCGAAAAGTCTCTTCTAGATCTAGTCCAATCTTATCTCTCTCTAAATTGTAGTTTTCATTTTCAATCTCTACTTTTATGACACCTCCTCCAGAGTTCAGCAAAGCACACACTGCATAGGCAAGGGTGTATTTTTGATCTTGTTTTGAATTTTTTGGCATCTTTTTTCTTGCTTTTTCACCAAAACATATTTTTCCAACACATAAAACTACTTCAGGATACTCTGTTGCTAAATTAACCCAGACCTTCTGCTGTTGATCATCTTCAGGAGCCATTCTGAGCCTGAAACAATTGTTAAAAAAATTGCTTACCATTTATGCTGAAACATATCAATCTTCCAGAGACTTACAAAAACATTAGCTCAACAGTGGCCATGCTTTGAACGATAAGTACTCTCAGAGATGAGAGCAACTGGGATTCTCCTCCACTTCCAAAACAGAGTGCTGTCTAAAACCCAAATTTGTTCCCAGTGCTCAGGTATTTATTTGTCTGTCTTTGAGCATGAGGGGATGTAGGGACCTTGCTGCCATCTATCCCTGTGGACACAGAAGCAGCCTCAAATAGTTTCTCTACAGCCAGGGTCGTACTCCCTTCAACACCACCCCCTTATATATTCCTGGACCACATGCCCCCTTCTCCTCCCCCGTAATGACTCAAAAAAGGCTGTGCTAATCTTCACTCAATCTTAAGAATCCAGTAATCCTACTGATTAATAATCAATAAATAATAACAACTGACCCTTCTACTTTCAGCTCTATTCATCCACCCTTGCTAGTAAGGCAGCTGAATCTTGGCTGATTGTCACTTGGCACTCAGCCTGCAGGCAAATTCGTTGAAATGGTGGCAAGCTGCATCTGCCTCACATTTAAGCCAATTCCTTATAATGAAATCCAGCCACCTTGCTACAAAACACATCTGTGGTACAAAAGCACTTGGAAATAAATGAAAGTGTGCCTAGAAGAGATCTCAACTGTGACAGGAGCACAACTTATTTCCCATAATACAGATTTGCCTTCCATGTGGTTAAATATTGAGCCAGAGAGCTGCAGGGCACAAAACCTCCAATGAACATCTCCTCCAGATCTGACACAGAAGACAAGTTTTCTGCCTTGTCTGCCTCTCCTCTGAGTTAGCTCTGCTGAGGAATATAGTTCTTTTACTCATAGCTTTGAGTTATGGTACAACTAAAGCAGCAAGGACTTTAGTGTGGGCTAATTTTTACTACCAGGTAGAGGAATTTTCCCATCCAGTTCCACAAGCCCCCATCTGGCTTGCTGCAACAGGACAGTCTGGCTGACTGCTGAGATCTCTCCCCTGGTATGACAGAGAAAAAGATTTACCCCACCTCTTCTTCTTAGCTCTGGGCTAAAATGTCAATATTTCAAATATCAATTTTAAATCCTTAAATATTTAAGTCCCAGAATGATGCGCAGCAGAAATGGAGTACAAAGCATCTGGAGTGCGTTACTTGTTTTTTCCTTGGCCACCTCTGTGAGAGACAAAACTACGAAATGTTTGTCTCAAGTTGTTTGTCTCAAAGATTGCCTGTTTGCAAGGATGGCTACAAAGCCACAGAGATATCTGGCCTGTGAAAAGCATCTGCTGCAAGGCCACAGAGGTGTTGCTGGTGAGAAACATCTCGCCAACATCTGCAAGGTACTTGCAGAGAACATCCTGGCGTATGTGCAGCAGTGCGGAGGAACCGCAAATTCCTGTTGTTGTTATAGAAACTGCAGCCTCAACTGAGTATAAGGAAGGCTGTTGAGATAAGCCCCTCACGGTCGTCCTCTGCCAAAGCACCGGCAGACTTAGACCCCTGGGATGCCGTGGATCCATGGTGGTGACTATTTTTGCAACCCTACTCAGACTGCTTGCTTGATTTCTGCCTTTTCCTTCCATCCTTCCATGCTATCCTATCGCATCTTTTTTTTTTTTTTTTCTTTTTTTACTTTTGATAATAAAAGCTGTTTCTAGTGTACGGCATTTGACCTCGTTTTTATCTTAATCTCATTCTTGGGATCATATTGAAACATCCCCTGACATCGGATTGGGACACCCTCCCTCTATTAAAATGTAGGAGAAATTAAACCTACTTTGTTGCTGGTTTTGCTTCTTCTCTGCCGTTTTTGTTTTCTTCTCTATGTTTCCTGTGGTGAAGCACCAGCGTCCACAGACTTCATTGCAACTTTCTAGCTCTATCTGAAATTCGAAACCAGGTTTTATTGGAAGCCCAGCCCTCCGGATATAGTACGTCTCTCTCATTGGCACTTTTCCAGTGGCCAAAGTCTATCAAAGGAAAGAGAAATAAAAAGAATAGTTAAGAAGAAATCCCTCAATTTATGTCATTGCTTGTTGAGTCTGAAAAGTTGGTGTTCCATTAAACCTCTAGAGCTGCAAAGTCAGATACAGTTCTGGAAGCTGGGAAGCAGGATAGTAAACTAGACAGTCCAGTGCAGAAGATACGGTCTGCATAGCTTCATTTGCAATATTTGCAATATGAGATTCAATTTTCTTACCTTTTTGTACTGACAAAGTACACTAAAGCTAATAATTTTATACTGAAACCATGCCCATACAACTTTCAGCTGAAATAATTAAAGTACTGGGTTAAAACTGTATCGTAACTTTTCCCAATGAAAGTGATCCATGTAGGGGACCACTTTGGGGCATCCTCAGTGTTGTCTCCCTCCCTGGGGCAAAATTCTGGCAAAGGTGCTGAGACTGGGACAATAGTGAGAGGACTGAGAATGGGGAAGGTTGTGGGCATGACTGCAAAGCCTTGATAAGCCTCACACAGCAGTGGACGAGTGTGCCTTGGGTCTCTGCTTGTTAGCACTCGCAATCGTGAAGAAAATTTATCTACACAAAGTAGATAAGCAGGCACTTCTTTATTCCAGCACTGGGGAACACAGGGGATAGCTCCACCAAAGACGTGTTCACCAGCAGGTACAAAGCACAACATATTTATATACATTTTTTAGTAGAGTCATTGTTACATAAGATTCAAAAATGCATAGAATGCTTGCTTGTTAATTTGACCTTTATAATGATTGGCTCTATAAATTACCTCACCTTATCCATACTTCTATTCTAAGTAATCATTAGTTAACCTCACGGATTGTAATCTTTTGTATTAAAATCAAAGAGGGAAGAGTAGTTGTGGAGATATTTTACATCAATGAAGGCCATGATGCTCTTGAAGGCTTTTGAATAACAGAAAAATAAGGGCTTCGAATAACAGAAAAATAAGGTCACAACAGACCTTGAAGGTTTCTGAATAACAGAAAAATGGGGTTTCTGAATAACAGAAAAATAAGGTAACAACGGACCTTGAATAACAGAAAAATAAGGTAGCAACAGACCTTGAAGGTTTTGGAATAACAGAAAAATAAGAATGTTATCAGTGAACAACAGAGGACTTGGGAAGAACGCCCGGAGCAAAAAAGTTATTGTGACAAAGGAAAAAAAAGACATGTGCAGTTAAGCTAGGCAATCAAATGTTAGAATAGGTGTGTGAGTAATGTATGTTAACCAATAAGCACTTATGTTGGGGGGATTGACAACTTTGTAGGGGGATACAAACGCAGCTTTCTGAATAATAAAGGGTCTTCGATCTTAACATTGGAGTCCGTGTTATCAATCTCCTCAGGTAGTCATTAGCATATTCATGTTCTTTCCTGGAAATCATTATTGTATGCAAATGTCTCTAATGCATCTGTGGTTATGTTAGTCAGCGGTCTTCTGGTGGTCGTCAGTAGTCTTCCTCACTGTGTCCGCTGGTTGAACTCCAGCTTTGCACATGCTCATTTCGTCCTTTGGCTGATCTCCCAAACCAAGGCCAGTTTCTTCTGGTACTCATTGTTTTAAATCAGAGTCCATAACTATTTCCATTGTAATCAAGGCAAAAACAATACTAGTTGCTCATGGCCAAGATCTTAATATATCCTATGTTCTCATAGCTACTATAACTCTGTATCACCCATATAACCAAAAATCAAAATAATATTCTAAAATTCAAGCTATTTCACTAGGGTATTTGTAAATTGTAACATGCTCAACAAAGTCGTATATTTTTTTTGAGGAGAGATGACAGAAAATTAAATAGTGTGGAAAAAGAGCAAGCTAGCACTAGACTGTGGAAACATGCTTGCAGGACAGGAGGCAAATAGAAACATACTCAGTTTGTGGGCAGGATTACAGCTTCATTTTTAGCTTTTGACTCCATGTCACATAAAAAAGAGTCGCCTGCTCAACCCCCTTGGCAGGAGTCGGTGTAATACCTCCACTTCCTTGCTTTGCCCCTTGTCTTCTCCTTTCCCTTCACCCCCCTTCAGACCACATTCCAGTGTCCCAGGATTCTCTTTATTCATTACAAAACAAAATTTTTTCTAGTTGAATTTTTCACGGTGCCCACCACCAGTTACTGAAGACTTCCCTATGAGGGCCACAGACAGTCAGAATGAAACTCACAGGTGCATGGGTGTGTTAAAAAGCTTTAATTTCTTGAACTCTGAGACTCCCTATGCACTTACAACGTCACTGGGCTGTGTTTGCCCCTCAGCTCGGACCCTCCTCTTGGCCCTGTGCAGAGCCGCCCCAGGAGGGTCAGGCCCCTCTCCAGGTAATCCATGTGAAATACGCCTCCCCGACAGGCGTGTTGAAGACGAGAATTAAGACTCAATAGCCATAATAGCTATTAAGCAGGTATTCTTTATTTGACGCGTTGGACGCATAGGGGATCATTCCTCCTAATATGCCTACCACCATTGTGGAGTTTATGATATTTATACACAATTCACTTACATATTCATATAATTTCCAAGAACTAATCATATTCATTACTTTTATGAGAAATCGTTATAATATGTTGCTGCCTACATCAACATGCACACTACAGTCTCTAGGTGGTCTTCCAGGACCTTTAGTGGTCGTTTATTTCATCATTCTCATCTTCATCACAGTGTCCTTTCTGTGAACTTGGTTCTGTCTTCCCCTTTCCCTTACGGCTGAGGCCACAAAACCAGTTGTGTCTGGTATTTCTGCAAGCTTCAGCATCCTTTTTCCATTATATTGTTTTTCATAGATAGGTGTGTACCTAAATCATGTAAACAGACAGGCTCAAGCCTGTTAATCATTGATAAAGTGTATTGTATTCCCTCATTAGGCAGATTCCTAAGCAGAACTACAAACAAGGTATTACTACATTAAGCAGTCCTTTAAACAGGCCCTGCCACTACTGAGAATTTGTAATTTTCCATATGTCTTCCCTCTTCAATGTGAGTTACGCAGGAATTTCTTGCAAACTACTGCCCATCAGGAGGATCCGTGTTACTGCTTTAGAACAGGACCAATTTACCCATCTGGCCTTGATAATAAAATCTGGCCTTGATAATAAAACACTTACCCTTAGCAAGCGTTTTATTCTAACTTGTATATTAAATCATCAGTTTTCCTTCCAAAGCACCTTCTGTTCAATTGTTGGAATATTTTTACTTGTCCCACAATTTTTTTTGTTTTATTTCTTCCTTTTTTTTTTTTTTTTTTTTTTTTTTTTTCCTAGTTGTCACGGCGATTGCACACCGGTCAGGCTGCCCTTTGCCGTGGAGCCGTTGCTGCACAACACGCAGCAGGAAGAGCCAGGCCCTCGGGTCTGGGCGGTGTTTGAGGCAGTGATTTACAACCGCCTCCTGCCCCGGCTCAGGAAGCCGCTGAGGAAACGCGAGAAAAGAAACGAAAGCGCTGCCGCGGCGGCGGCGGCCACACGGTCCCAGCAGGCCCCGGCCTGCCCGCCCCCTCAGGCCTCCTCTGGGCGGGAAACGCGCGCACCGCCCCGAGCTCCTCTAGCGCGGCTTCCTATTGGCGCTCACCCGGCCCCGCCGGCTGTGCCGCGCGCTGCCATTGGCTGCTTGCCGCCGGGGGGGTGGGGCGAAGGCTGTTCCGCCTCGGCATGGCTGGGCCTGCGGCGGGATGGCGGCGGCGTGAGGGAGTGAGGGGCCCGGGGCAGGGCAGCTGGGGGCTCGGGGTGTGCGGGGAGGAAGCTAGAGAGGCTGAGGGGAGGGTGATCCCGGCCGAGGTGGGGCAGCTGGGCATGAGCGGGATGCAGGGGGCTGAGGGCGGTTGGGTGGACAGGGGTAGAGGAACTGGGGACTGAACAGCTGCAAGGTTCCTGTGGGGCGAGAACGCGAGGAAGGAGGTGGGGAATAAGGTTCAAATGGGGGGCGTGAGGGAAGGGCTAGGTCAAAACAAGCCTCAGGACCCTTGGAGAGCCACCGACTCCAGCAATGTTTATAGGTATGGTAAGTTTTTTTCCTCTTGGTTTGTCCTGGTACTGGCTCTTCTGATCTTGGAATCCCAACTTGTGACCTGTCTTCCCTAGCTCCAGCTGGGTTCTATGAGGCCTGCGGTCCTCCTCCCTTCTCTTGCTCTCCTGCTAAATGTGCTTCATCCTGTTATCTGTAACAGTAGGAGGTGGTAAAGAGAAAAAACCAAACCCTTAATTCATGGATAAAACTTAAACCAGCTCCTTTTATCTGTTGCATGCTCGTGGATCAGTCAAAGCTTTAATTAATACCTATTTGGAGTCTCTTTATGCTTTGTGGGGTGGCATTGTGTATAGGTGTGTCAGGAGGAAAAAGAGGGGTTTTGCTGGCTTAGCAAATGGTATTTGGGAAGGGGAAATGGGATCTTTTGTATGTGTTACTCTACCGACATGGCTTTGTCATGCACACAGCTGAACAAACACACGAGCTTTGATTTGTGTGGAGAGACAACGTCTGTACTGGTGGTGCAAAGTACCAGCTCTTCCGTGTTGCTGTGCGACAGAGGTGGGTACAGAAAAGTAGAAATAGGCACTCCGGGCTCGGGTTTTCAGTCTGGTAACAGCCACCCCTGTCTCATCTCCCAAGAGTCAGTGTTAATTTATTGCAAACTCTTTCCTGTAGAAAGCCATGTGATCCTGAAAAGAATGAATCCAGAACCCAAGTTAATCTGTGTATGTTTGGGGGGGGGGGGGGGGGGGGGGGGGGGGGGAGGGGGGGGGATATGAGGTGTGTGTTCATTTGTTTGGTTTTTCCTCTAGGAAAAAAAACTTTTCTGTTTTAGTTCCTAACTTGGGAGTAAACTCCATATTGAATGGAAATAAATTTGCCCAAAGCAATGATGAGCGAAGTATACTCTGAACTGGTATTGCTGAGACTGTGTGTCTTTGCTCTGACCAGGGCATGATCATATAATCTTCTCTCTGAGCTTATTTAGGCTAAGCTCATCTAGAGTAAGAAGCTTTGCTTCTTCTTGAAGCTTTTTGATGCACCCTAAAAAAATTCAAGAATTTTTAGCAGCAGAAAAACAAAACCTTGATTTGAAAAGTGAGTAGTGCAAATACCTGTTTGTATTTGTGTATCCTGCTGCAATGCTGGGTTTAGTACTGAGCTTATAGCGAGAAGGGTTTCTTGGTTTTTCTCCAATGTATGACATGGTTTATGAGACTCCACATACTCTGCTGCTGTATCTTTTCCATTTGTAAATGCAATGCAGACTCAGTAAAATGGAGTTTGAACTGACTGTCCTGTAGACATCTCATTAGCAGTTGGTTCAGCTATATCTCATCTAGTGATTGCCAGCACAGAGGCAGGAGTATTTTTGGAAGCAAGTTGTGGTGTTAGGCCTGGATCTGGTGCTCTGCTCTGGATGAGGTGCAGCCCTTTTTGGGGTAAGGGGAAGAAGGTTGGGCTAATCAAGCAAGTACAGGAAAAGATATGGAGCTATTTTCTAATCTAATTTTTATTTTCTTCCAGGTTCTTGGTGACAGCTTTACATTAATTTCTCTCTTTCTGTGGAGAAGGAAGCTTCTTTGGAGAATATGTACATAGAAGTATAGTTATGGTGATTTTTCTTTTAAGAGGAGAAGCCATGTGATTTCTGGTAAGGAAGCATGGGAAGCAATTCGGTTGTTAATGTACTAATTTTTTAGGAGTGCCTAGAATGAGTTGTGAATGTTCACTAAATATTTTTTAAAAGACTTGTAAAGTCAAGTTCTGATAGTAATGTATTGGCTAACTCCAGTGCTGCTGTTAATGTCAATGTAATTGTATTAGGCAACAGAACAGAGCATCCTGATTGCATATAGATGATACATGACTGTATAGAAGTCACACATTAGTATGTAAGTCTAAAGTTTGGTTTAATAAAGTTGGTGTTCCCTGAAAAACCTTTTATTGTCTATCTTCAGACCATCATAGCTTTAATAACACTTACAAACATTCCCATTTATCTGCTTTTAACTGTATAACCTGAATTTGTTTTGTAGCTTTGCTTTAGAGCAATAAACCTGATAAACAGGTATCTATTTGCCTGCTGAGGACTGGAGGATTAGAAGAAGCAGTCAAATCCAAATTGGTACTCTGCAGCCATCTGCAGGACCACGAATAAAATCTGCCAGTTAACTGCTGAGGCTGTCACCATTGTGGGCTTAGTGCCTGTTAGTCAGCCAAAGAGCCATTTAACATTCAAAAGAGTAATTACAGTTGTTCAGAACTGTGCGGCTTAGATGGGGGTGGTTCTGTGCAGGTCTGGAGCAGCCATGGAGTTGGCCAAATCTTAGTTTGACAGGAACAGGGTCTTGTAGAGCGTGGTGTGGTGGGAGGTGAAGGCAGGCAGGGCCTGACAGACAGGCATCTGGTGATCATTCTGGAGACAGGGAGGGAGGTTAACCCTGGGAGAAGGCGGCGTAGAGGCCCCTGAGCAGCATATGTGCAGGCAGGGTGGTTGTGCTGCTCAGCAATTAGTGAATCCTCCTGGACTGGAGGGGAGGACGCTGCAGAACTTGCCCAGGAGCTCTGCAGTGCTGGCAATGAGTCAGCATCGGTCAGTCTTCTGTCCCAGGTCTGCCTAGCTTGTCACAGAGCAGTGGACAGATAATGGGGAAAGCATGGGCAGGATAAAAGGAAAATAAACCTATCCTGAAATGGAAGTGTCAGTTAAATACTTCAGCCTGTTTAAATGAGCAGTTGCACTAGAGTCAACACAACTGGTCCCACGTCTGTCTAACCAGACAGGTTGTTGTAAGACAGTGCAGCAGCAGTGGGGTATCTTGGATGCTGGCTTTTCACAGAGGTGATGATTTCTGTGTATGAAGTAAAACTGATGTAGCAAGTGACATGAATTAATATCCAACCCAAAGCCAGCTATGTTAAAAGAGATTTGAAATCTCAGAAAATTATGTGATTTCTTTTCCAGTAAGATGTGTGTGCTCTTACTGTCTTTCTAAAGGAAGAGAAGTGTCTTTATGGATCCCAAAACTACTGGAGAAAAGACAAATGAAACAGTTACTATTCCACAGTGGCACAGGTAGAAGTGTCTAGAAATTGTAGAGAGGGACAAGCATTGAGAACAAATCTCATTTGTTACAGTAGGTGTTTTCCAGAGCATCTCTGGAAAGATGCAAATTGCTGTACTTTCCCCCATTATTCAATAACCTTGCTATCTTGCTTCCAAGTGAGGCAGGATATTAGAGATTTTTATCTTCCAAAGCAAAGCTAAAGTGGGGGGACAATGAGATGACTGGTTCCGTGGATTAAATGTTTGAACAGTTCTCTTAATCTGGAAAGACTATGTACTTTGTGCAGCAAACTTTGCTCTTCATATTCAATAAGCAATGTCATGGTGATGTCTGGAGTAGCTAACTGCTGCTCCCTAGAGCTGAGTCAGGAAAAAACCTTCCATCGTAAAAAATCAGGTGTCAACCAAGAAGCAGCCATATCACACACATTTTCTTTTCAACTCTGTTCAATGAAAGGATGCTTTGTTATGATATGAATGTGCCATATGGTTGGGACTGGAATAATTACAATGTAATACTTAAACACAGACATTAAGGATTCTCAGCCTACAAAATACTAATCTTATATTCATTATCATCATCTGCAAAGATGAAAGCAGCTTTAGTCTAGTCTCTCTTTTGTAAATAGAGTCCCTAGAGGAGTAAACTGTTTTTTCCAATCCTCAGAGAAGAAATAAATCAGGTTCTCAATCAAGGAAGAATTTTGCTTTATAAAAGCAGGTAAGATTCAAAGACTTACTTAACAAAAAACAACTCTCATCAGTTGGCAGTTTCTGCTTTAATCTGGTTTGTCCTTTTTCTCCCTTGCGCAGAAAATATAATCTCCCCCTTGTATCCTTGTTTGTACACATCACCTCTTGTTCCTTTAAACAGTCAAAAGTCTTAATTTAGAACTGTTGAAGGGAATTAGAGGTGTGATGTTCTCAATTCAGAGGTGAGTAGCCTGAAAACACAGGGAGACTCTGAAGAATAGCATGACCAGAGGAGTGGTTTAAGCCTGTCTCTACCTCTTTGACAAGCACTAGTGCCAGAGCTTGCCCTGGACAGCGCAGGTGCCTGGGAAGCTGCTCAGGGAGGAGTAACTCACCCAGAGAATTTTCCCTACCTCTTTAATTTGCTGGCTCATGCTCTCGTGCAGGACTTCTACCAGTGATGCTCTTTGATCCTCACATCTGCATTCTTCTTATCCAAATCAATGTTTCTCCCCTTTTGGTTGGCCTTTGAAGGCATTTCTGTGCCAGCTGACAGACTGTAGCTGTCCAATCCCTCCGAAACTGTCACAGGATGTTTGAACAGCTAATAAACAAAGGGGACAGCCTTACCAGAATTAGAAAAGGCATCAAAACTCTGATGTGCCACCAAATTCAAAGGAGCTTTAGAGCTCACTGATGAGCTGTAGCGGTTGAAAGCCTTCTATGGGACATAAGAAATGGTGAATTTAGGCTCACTGCTACCCAACTGCTAGCCTCAGAGACGTCTCTGAAAGCACAGGGCAGGCCCTTCAGCTCTCGGGAGAGTACAGTTTGACAAGGTGCTGCAGCTCTGTGGCGTAGCCTGTGATCGGGCAGCGCTGGTGAGTCTTCACATAACTGTACGCGCAGCGGTAGCAAAACACAAAGCCAGATGTGGACAGGGCCGTGGCATTGACACGAATTTTGCGGCACAGAGGGCACACGGTCTTCAGTTTTGGTAAGAGAGCTGAGCTGGTCCCGTGGTCGAGATGCATGGGGGGTGGAGGAGTTGGGAGCGCTGTCAGAGATTTGATAGTCTCTTGGTTTTCTGAGGAGTACCACCAGTCCAGGAACTGGAGGAAGAACACACTGACTGACAGCCCGGAGGACAGGGAGAAGGCAATGCCACCCAACAGTTTCCTCACTGCTGACTGCACTTGTGTTTTAATGCTGTAAAAGAGAGAAGATACGGAGAAATCATTACTACTGCAGATTTGGCCATCTGCAAACAAAGGCAAAAAGGACCTGGGGTGTCACTGCTTTACACAGCTTCTTAATGCTAAGGACGTTGGTCAGCACATCCCATGTTTGTAATGAGGCATCTTCTCGGATGCTTCTCCCAGGTTCTCTGTATTTTAAGAAAGCTTCAAATCCTGTTTTGTTCAGATGTCTAAATGGGAAGAGTTTGGATTCAGGGGACCTGGACCACAGAGTGTTTCACTCATGGATCTTCATTTTACAGGACATTAAGTGTGGTCATGACTAGCTGCTGCTCAGAAACATCAAAGAGCTAAGTTTCAGTCATTTTAGCAATATTGTTGCAGCCTACTTCCCTTGATAGAGAAAAGCAGGTGAGGACTGAGTAAGATAAATACTAGAGTGCCATCCCCCCACCCTCCAGCATTGCAGTTTTATTATCACAAAATCTTGTGAAGTTAATCCCTGCTACTTGTTTCCTGACTTATGCTAATGATATACCCCATTTTGCCAGAGGTAAACTTCATCTTGAAGAACTTCTGAAGAACAAGGCAGTTTACTTGCAGCATTACCTCCAAATTTATGCACTCACAGAACCCTCTAGAAAGCAGCTGCTAAGCTGTGTTCTAACATACCTGGGTGTTTGACTTGAGGTGGCTCCAGCCAATTTCTTCTCCAGCGCCTGGATATCCTCTGCAGTCAGTCTGACCAGGTGAACGCCAGCCAGCCGCAGCATGGGTGAATGATGTTGAGCTTTCCCAAGGATATAGAACAGTTGCTGGATAAGAAACCAGCCCTCCCAGGTCATGTTTACAAAGGGGTAGGCAGCTAGAAAGGCTCTGTAAAAGCGCTTCCAGGATGACGATGGAGGGTGGATGGAGTACTCATCCTCTTCCCTCAGGCTGGACACCAGTTTCTCTAGCTTTCCTTTCAGGTAAGGAACAAGAACGAGCAAAAGGAGAGACTTCCAGTGCTGCTTCTTTGGCAGGCCAGCAGTGGCCAGAGGTTGCTGTCTGCTATCTCCTATTGCTATCCTCTTTAAACTATAAAAGTTTTCAGAAAAGGAGGCGCTGCACCTGGCCAGATAGTGCTGCTGGAGCAGCAAATCCAGAAGGACGTAGATCTCATCAAACCAGTGCCAAAGGAAGCCGTATCGGCCAGGATTAGACTCCACAAGCACCTATTGAAAGGGACACAAAACGGGAGGACCTGGAAGCGGAGTAATGTGCTAAATTACATTCGCTATACATTATACCCCCCGTCCGTAACGCGAGCTGGGTGGGTCAAAACTGTTCCACCAGCTTGGGAGCACGGCCTGGGGTAAACCCTGGCGAGGAACGGCTCAGCCCAGAGCTGTGCAGCCCCTCCGCAGCAGTTTCCCCACAGATATTCACTCCCAAGGCTGCTCCCCTCAGCGTCCTGCTCCCCTCAGCGCGCTGCTCCCCCGGCCCCTCCTCCCCTCAGCCCCAGCCCTGCGGCCTGCCCGACGCCTTTACCTTGACCAGGTGCTGTAGGGCGGGTTTCACGGCGGCCATCAGGCTGTCCTGGGCCACCGCCTCGAAGATGGAGGGCCGGTGATGGCCGGCCGAGGCGGCCGTGAGGTGGGCGCCGAGCTCCGCCATGGCGGCGGCGGCGCCCCCTCCCTGCCCCGCGCCCGCCGCCAGGGGGCGCCCAGCGGAACAGCCGCCCCTCTGGAAGCGCTGCGCAGGCGGCGCTCTGCCTCCTCCCCCCTCTATGGCGGCAGGGGCGCGGCCGCTCTAGGCGGGGGGAGGGTTTATTCTCGCTCCTCGCGAGTCCTCCCGGGCCCCTCCGCTCCGCTCCGCTTCCGGTTCCGCCGCCGCCCCCGCAGCGGTGTGTCCGTCCCGGCGCCGTGAGTGGGGCCGGGGGGGGGGCGTGGGAGCGGGCACGGCGGGGGGGGCGTGGGAGCGGGCACGGCGGGGGGGGCGGCACTGGCGGGGTACCGGGAGGGGGAGGCTGGGATAGGGTGGGGAGAGGCACTGGTGGGGAACTGGGAGGGGCTGAGGTGGTACTGGGAGGAGGTGAGGGGGTACTGCGAGGCGGGACGGGAATAGGGTGGGGAGCGTCGCTGGCGGAGCACTGGTGGGTTGCTGGAGACTGTCACGGGCGAGGTACTGGTGGGACTGGGCGGGTGAGTGCAGAAGGTGCTGGAGGGGTGGGTGCTGGAGGGGTGGGTGCTGGAGGGGTGGGTGCTGGGGGTGGGGAGCTTGGGGAGGGGTGGGGGTGAGCGCTGGGCCCTGGGAGGAGGCGCTGGGCAGGGGTGTGGCGGGAGGGGGGGATGCTGCGGGGTGGCCTGGGGCTTGGTGGGACTGGGGAAGGGAGGTGAGATGAGAATGAGCAGAGCAAGCTACTGGGGTACGGGTGGGACTGGGCAGGTGTGAGGGCTGGGGTGCTGAGGGGGGGGCTAGTGGGGCTGGGAGGGGGGTATGGGGAGGAAGAGGGGATTGGTGGGGGACGCTCCTGCAACTGGAGAGGTTTTGGGGATGCTGCTGTGGGGGGAAGGTGGGTGTGCAGGGGTTTGGGGGGGCTGGGGGTGCCTGGGAGGAGGGCGGGCGCGTGCTGCGGGTGGTGGAGAGTCTGCGAGCCCCGCTGTGGGCTGGGGCTGGAGACATGGGGCATGTGGGGGGGGCTGGTGACAAAGCTGGGACGAGGTCTGAGGAGTGAGGAGGGGATAGGAACCTCGGGGTGTTTGAGAGTGGGGTGGGGAGTACCAAAGGGGTGCTTGCTCCCCAAGATGGAAGCCAATTACCTGCTCCTAGCACATGCTGTTAGGGCTGCAGGTTTCTAAAGCTGAGGCTCTGCTTTCCCTTTGCCATCCGTGTTTGGCTGCTCTGTTTAGTTTTCTGATGCTCTGACAGCCCTGAGCTGCGCTTGGGTCATCGTGCAGCTTCTTGAGGCTTTGCAGGTGAAATATGTGCAAATAAGAGGTGGTAGCACCATCTGGAATGTGAGCCAGGTTAAACCGGGGATCAATTTAGGCATTTAGGGGTTGGACACTGGATTGTTTCAATGCTGTAGAGCTTGGATCATTACTGAAGCCTTAAGGCTGCCACCTTCCTGTTTACACCTATGTGAAATCAGTGGTGGGGAGCTGGTCAGGCTGTTGTTGGAGTCATGCATGGGACAAAGCCTGTTGGTCAGACACAGGATCCAATTTTCTGTGTGGTTTTCAGCTGAGGAGGCTTATATTTCTGCTTATGATGGTTCCTTAGTCCTTTCATTTAGCCATATTTTTGGTTCAGTCTACATTTAAATGTCAAGCCAATGCTTATAGCATTAAACATTGCCAGAGCTTCTGGAGAAATTTCTCTGTTTTGTCTCTTCTTGTTTGCTGGGGTTGGAACAGGAACATTTTGCTGTCAGCTTGAACACCTCTTACCTGCTTCCCCCTTAGCAAGTGCTGGGCACAGAACAACAGCAAGGAGCAGGCAGTCTGATGTAGATTTTCTACTAAAAATACAAGGATGTTCATGATATTGTCATAATTTATCTTGGCTTTCTTCAATTTAGATTTGTGTACAAGAAGCTGGCATTTTCTTGAGTTATTTAAAACATTGCTATTTGTATATCTGGGCTGTTTTGTTTTTGGCCTTCATCTGGGACTTGCTGTAAACCACGCTGAGTTTGCTTCGTGGATGAGATAATATTCAGAACTGCTAGCAAGCTGTCTCTGAACAATGTGCAAAGCAAGCTGTGACATACAGGAAGCAAAAATCTGTGTGCTCATGAGAAAAAGAGCTTTCTCCTGTGTTGCACTTGGAATATGGTAGTTTGCTTTCTGACCTAAGTCAGATCTCATTTACACATACAAAACAGGTTGTAAATACATGTGCTGTGCTTAGCCTTATCTGAGTCTGAGTGTTTCTAGGATTCTTCATGTTGCAAGTATGTGATCTGAAGTTAGAAAAACAACAAAATGTTCTGCTTTTGGGTTTAAAGATCATCTCTGAAATTCAGCAAGGTTTCTTTGTAGCTTTATGCAGCTGGGATGATATGTATGGTGGGTTTTTTTTTCCTCCTGAATTTCTCTGTAATCTGCTGCTCTGGCCACCGTTAAAACAATACTGGACTACCTCAGCTGGGAGGCCTGAGCCAGGTTGACAAATCCACATATAATGCAAATAATGAATGGCGAGGCTATATTCAATGCCTTTTGCATGGCACCTTGCCAAATGCTCTCATAAAGGAAAACATTTAAGTCATCTTTTAAGCTGAGCTCGAATCTGAAGGACTGTGTCGGCAATAATGTTGCAGCTGAACATGGGCTGTGGTTTTAATTCTAAACCAAGACCCACAACAGCTTTTTCTTTTGTGATGCTGTTTTTTTTTTTTTTTTTTTTTTTCTTTCTGGAAAGATTGCAGTGTTGTGGCTTATGCAGCTTTCCCAACCCAGCCTCTGTTTTGGAAGGAAGGAAAACCTTTCCTGTAGATGGAATGTGCTTCCAGAGCTGTCCCCAGGCATCATTTGCTCTCCAGCTTGGCAGGAGAAGAAAGGGAGAGAAATCAAACCAAACCCAGTAATACTGCCTAATTGGGATGAAGTGGTAACCACAGAGGCACAGGGGAGGCAGGAGCTCTGAGGAACTGGGCTGAGCAACAGGTTGTCTCTCATCTGGCCTCTTGGCAGTTGGACAAGGTTACGACTGCTCTGCATTGCCGTGCTGTGGAGCACCTTGGAGGTGGTAGAAGTGGTGGCATTACCCCTCAGCTGCTGCTGGGAATTTAACTGCTGAGGTATTAAATTGATCAAGGAGGACAGTGGAAAAAGGAATGGTAGGGGTGTGGTGTTGGGATTGGTTAAGGGATGAGGAAGGAAAGTGTTAAGAACCAGCAAGCTGGTTGCACTGCTGGGCAGCGTCATGGAGTTCAAAGCTGTGCTTGGCCTTTTGTTGCTGAGCTGGCAAGACGGGCAGTATTTGGGGAACAGATGACTTGCTGCTTTGCTGGTAGCATTTAAGGTCATGGAAGTATGTACAAGAGAAGGGGAATTGAGCAAAAAGGAGGAAGGAGGTAGGAAACCCCTTTTTGGGGATGGTTTTAGGGCCATAGGTTCTTAGCACTGATGCAGTTTCATCAAAAAGAGTAAAACTGCTCACTCTTAGGCTTGTTTTTCAGCCAATACTTGAAAATTGAGTCATATTTTTTCACAGAGCTGGCAATTATAAGAATAAAATGATGGATATCCATGTACGTTTGGGCAATCCCTGTGTTCTAAGGTATTAATAATTTGGTTCCATGGAACAAGAAAAATGCTGGTGAGACCGTTCTCACAGCTTTGCTAAGCACTTGCTGGTCCAGCAACATTTCTTGGTCCTGTCCACAAAAATGCAGTGCAGCACTAAAATGATAAGCTTGCGTGTGTCAGAGGTGGGATGTCAGATCTTGGCAGAGAAAGATCTAAATTTCAAGCTTGAAAGAACTGAAAAGTAATGGCTTTTCTTTTGGAAAAAAAAAAAAAAAACAAAACAAAAAACAAACCAAACCTGCTTTGCATCTACTGGGAACAAAAGAAGGGAAAGAAAGGAAAGAGCTTCGGGGTGGGTATTGCAAGTAGGGTTAATTGTTCCTTCCATCAAGATGCAACACAGGAAAGTATCGTTAGGGGGAGTTGACAGTTTCCTTTGTCTGAAACATGGACTTCTTGCTTCCAGTCGAGATAGTCAACGTGCAGTGCTTTTTTTGGAAAATGAAATTGTGTACCCAGGGGAAAGACAGCTACAGAACATGTCAAGATCTGCTGATTATAACGAGTTAAAAACCGCCTTTTTCCTTTCAGAGATCGAGGGGGTAAAAAGCTGGGCTGAGCACCACCGCTTTTCTAGCCTGTCTGCCTCAAGCTGTTGTGTTTTCACTAGCGTTGTTCATCTGAGCCCTTTAAATCCCTGGGTTTGCCAAGTAATATCAGCAGCAGGTGCAAAATGAAGATTGTGAAACTTGTGCCGGCGGATGTAAAGCATTTGCTTCTTCCCTTACACTGAGCACTCACCAACCACCCTTTCTCCGAGTTCCTGCCTTGCAAGCTGGATGTTGTCAGGGCCAAATGCTGTTTGACTGCTTGTCCTTTTTTTATTATCGTTCTCAGGTATTTTAAGGAACTGGAACCATGACGGACTCCAAATACTTCACGACCAATAAAAAAGGTTAGTGTTAAGCTGGTGCAATGGATTGAAGGTGGTGGGTGGCTATTTTTACACAGCTTTTTTAACCGCATGCAGAAGAACTTGTGCTTTTCTGTTAGCTCTGTCCCTGTTTCTCATCTTAATCATCCAGGGAGAAACTTCATAAGTAGGTCACATGGTGACAAAAGACAAAACTCATGTATTATATGTTTTTTTTAGTGCACAAAATGACCCAAATTGCTGCTTTTTCAAGGATCAGAGAACAAAACATTGAGTTTTGAGTGCAGATCTGTTCAGAGACAAAGTTTTAATTAAGGGCTAATGAGTTCAAGACTGAGGATGGTTGTTCTGTTGGGCATCACAGGATTAAGTTGATTGAGAGACATTTAATATTTAAGGTGTAAGTATGCATCTCTACATCAAGCTGTTGCAAAGATAATGAGATTTCCTATTGCTGTTTCCTGCAAAGCTGCAGTGTTCCATTTGACTTTCCCTTGGCTTTACTGTATGTGTGGTGGTCGCCTCACC